CAAAACTAGTCCTTCAGACGCGCGTGCACACACACACACACACACACACACACACACACACACACACACAGAAATGTATCACTATGGGCAAATCTCTTAAACTCTCAATGCTGCAGTCCAATGATTCTAAAATTTTTTGGTCTCAGGATTCCTTTATGCTCTTAAAAATGATTGAGGACTCCAAAGAGCTTTTGTTTATATGAATCATATCTATTAACATTTACCGTGTTAGAAATTAAGAGGGATAAAATTTTAAAATATTTGTTGATCAATTTGAAAATAAAAAACATGTAACATCATATCATAACATTTTTATGAAAAATAACCATATTCTCCAAAAACATGTGTGAGAAGAATAGCATTGTTTTACATATTTTTGAAAATCTCTTTAATGGCTGTCTTAACAGAATACAACTGGATTCTCATATCTTCTTCATTCACTTTACTGTGATACTGTTTTACTTGGTGTGTATGAAGAAAATCTGACTTCACACAAATATGCAGTTGGAAAAGGGAGAATTATTTTAATAGGCAGATAATGTTTTGACTACATAGACCTATTGAAAGGATCTGGGGAAGAACCAACACTCCAGCCAACTATTTAAGACTATAGATTGCAAATGACTTTTCAGTATGCTTTGTTGAGAAAAGTTTCAACCAAAGAAGTTCTCTATACACTGATGAAATTATGGGTCCACACTAAAAACTAAAATTAGATGAAATTTTACTATTATGAGAGACAATATAGTCTAGGAGGTAGGGTACTGGCAGAGTCCAAAATGCCAAGGTTGAAATACTTCCTGAGATGCTTATTGTTTGTCTGACTCTTACCAGACAGACCATTTAACTGGTCCATGCCTCATTTTCTTTATCTATAATATGGGAAGGATGGACTTGATGGTGTTTAAGGTCCCCTCCAAATCTAAATCTGTGGTCTATCTTTATGCATCACATTATATAAATAGCAGTGTGGTTTAGTATGAACAGCACGGTTAAGAGTCAAGACTTTGGGGTTCAAACTCTAGAGCAACTAGCTTTGTGACCTTGAACAAATTCATCATCTTCTCTGGGTTTCAGTTTCCTAACTTTTAAAATGAGAAGAGTGGAGTAAATAACTCTGAAGACCCTTCCTACTTGATGATTCTATGTATATATACCCATATTGTCTCCTCTATGAACCATCAAATTCCTTGAGGAGTGGCTTTGTGCTATTTAATATACATCCCAAGTAAATTATCTCACATAAAACAGAAAAGAAAAAGCTTTTACACTGGAGGAGAAGTAGGGGAAGGTGAGAGTGAATGAGTGAATCTTATTCTCGTCAGATTTGGCTTAAGGAGGGAATAACATATTCAATTGGGCATGGAAATCTATCTTACTCTACAGGAAAATGGGGGGAAGGGAATAGGAGAGGGGGGATGATAGAAGGGAGGGCAGATTGGGGGAAGGGGTAATCAGAAGCAAACACTTCTGAGGAGGGACAGGGTCAAAAGAGAATATAGAAGAAATGGGGGGCAGGATAGGATGAAGGGAAATATAGTTAGTTTTTCACAACATGACTACTTTAGAAGTGTTTTGAATGACTATACATGTATAACCGGTATTGAGTTGTTTGCCTTCTCATTGAGGGTGGGTGGGGAGGGAGGAAAGGAGAAAATTTGGAACCCAAAGTTTTAAAAACAAATGTTAAAAATTGTTTTCACATACAACTGGGAAATAAGACATACAGGCAATGGGGTATAAAAATCTATCCTGCCCTACAGGAAAATAGAAGGTGAAGGGGATAAGAGAAGGGGGGCAGATAGAAGGGAGGGCAAATTAGGGGAAGGGGTATTCAGAATGCATGCAGTCTTGAGGTGGGGGGAGGGGTAAGATGGGGAGAAAATTTAGAGCTCAAAATCTTGTGGAAATGAATGTTGCAAACTAAAAATAAATAAATTAACAAGTAAACAAATAAAAACAAATAAACAAAAAGGAATGTTAGATTTGAGTCAGAAAACTTGGATTTGAATATTGCCCTAGACTTTTCAATTGGTATGATTGAGCGTGATTACTTAAGCTCCTAGGTCCTCAATTTTCTTGCTTGCAAAATGAATATAATAAAATTTGTTTTATCTACCTTAAAAAAAATAATAATATACATCCCAAGCCTTCTATATCCCTAGTAAAGCCCAGACCTTTTGAGCAATTGGTTTGTCATTCCTTTGAAAATTTTTTTTAATTTAATTTTCCTTAATTACATGCAAATATTTTAAAAAAAATTCTTAAATTTTGAGTTCCAAATTCTCTTCCACCTTCCCTCTCCCACCTTGAGAAGACAAGCAGTTTAATATAGATTATACATGTGAAGTAATACAAAATGTTTCCAAATTGATCATGTTGCAAAAGGACACACAGTCCAAAAAAAAAAAACCCAAGAAAAATAAAATTTTGCATTCAGACATCATCAATTCTTTCTCTGGAGATGGAAAGCACTTTTTTATTCTAAGTCCTTCAAAATTGGCTTGGATTATTCTATATTGCTCAGAATACAGCTAAGTCATCACACAACATTATTGTTACTATGTAAAATGTTTTCCTGGTTCTGGTCATTTCACTTTGCATCAGCTCACATAAGTCTTCTCAGGTTTTTCTGAAACCATCCTGCTCATCATTTCTTGTAGAACAATAGTGTTTGTAGGAGACTGTCCCAAGTTTATGGAAGGAAATGTTTGGTAGCTACTGTACTTACTATTTTAGTAAAAATGCCTTTGCCTTGAGCTAATGGTATTCTACTGGCTAACTAGTAAAGGTAAGCTTTAGGAGTGTGTGAACACATAGGGTATCCACATCTGTGGGAGCAGTTGTCTACTTGGGAAATCCAACCTATAAGCTAGTATGAATGAGAGTTGGAGGGAGGTAGCCCAGGGAACCTATTATACCTGGAAGCTATGCTTCTCTTAACACAGCTTAACCATGAAAAGACTGGGGGTTGATAAATAGACATATTTATTTAGTAAATAAAGGCAGAGAAACAGATCTCTTCCTCAATGTTAGGAATCTTCCTAACTCAGGGCATGGGTCACTTCCAAGTATTATCCTCCTAACTTTTCATCTAATATAAAACTTCCCTAAAGTCCCAGAAGGGGATTGATGTGAATCTCAAGGGCCATTATATTTTCTCCAGGCCTGAAACAAGCTAATTATTATAATAAGATACTATATATGCATTAGTAAGTAAGATCCAATCACCATGATTATAATCTCCCCCAAAGGTAAAGTCACTTTGTGGGAACTGCTGAAGACATTTCGTATTCACTTTCTTGTCTGCGTAATTGACCTGATCCAGAACCAGGGACTAGCCAGGTATGGCTCTATAGACTTTTTCTGGTTCATTATGATGCTGTCAATCATTATCTTCTCCTCTGAGAAGTTGTCCAGTTGCAGGGAATACTTCATATTGTGCAACTAGTACTGACTGAAGAATCCAAGGACTCCTGAACTTAGGCACCGAGGCTGGAAATTTACACAATTGCTGTTCAATTGTTAATTGTCTCACAATTGTTATTTCATTAATAACAAGGAAAGACACAAAAAGCAGAAGAGGCAGCCAGGAATTTGAGGTCTGCACTCAGGCACAATCTTTCACTGCCCAGTAGCCACTATTATCTCTAGGGTAGAGAGGAGCATTTCTTGTTGGAAGTCAAAGAGAAACACAGAGTCCCAAAATGAGGTGCTCAAAAGAAAGTGTAACCTCTCTGATCTCTTTGGAAAGGAGAGACTCTAACCTAAGAGTCCATTCCCATGTGACACTCAGTGACCAATCCTCTTTGACAGTCTTCAGGCGTTGGATCCAATTAGGAGCTGTTGCCTCATCCCAAGGTGTAATTAGCGTGTATAGTTTAGCAAGGGAAAAGCTCCATTAGAAGTGCTCCAATCCAGCCCTGATAAAACTGCATTGTACCTTTGTAGGAGGTTTGTGATCTGCTCCCCAAACTCATCTATTTTCTGTTCCTGCCTCTTTGCTCCATCTACATTTTCCCACCTAGTTCTTTTTTCTTCTCCTATCTTCTAAATATAAGCCCTGTATTCTCAGTCTCTACACTCTCCCTCTCTTGGCAATCTAAGAGGTTCTGCTGGCTTAAACTGTTATAAAGTTGATTGGCAAGTCTGTAACTCCATCCCTAACCTCTGTCCTCCTGGAGCTACAGGCTCACATTTACAACCAATTGCTGCTAAACATCTCCACCTCCAGGTCCCAATAATATCTGGAACTCATGTCCCAGAATAAACCGTGACTCTCTCCAGATCATTTCTTTACCGCAGCTTCTCAATTTTTGTTGATGGTGTCATTCTCCCAGTTACTTATTATGCTCAAAACTTTATAGTCTTTCATCTTTGCCTGATTCTCCTGTAATTTATCAGTTGCTAAGTATTGTAAATTCCATCTTTACCAATATCTCTTGAATCTGCCCCCTCTTTTCATTTTTCATTGCTTCCACCCCAATTCATGACCTCTTTACTTCTTGCCTGGATTACTATAATAGTAATCCATTTATGTAGCACTTTAAGGTTGACAAAGCACTTTAGAAATATTATTTCATTCAAATCTCATAACAACCCTGGGAAGTAGGTGCTATCTCCATTTTAAAGATTTGGAAACTAGGGTAGACAAAGGCTAAGTGACTTTCCAGGGTCATACAACTACAATATTCTTTAGGATGGAGATAAGTATTCCACTAACCTAGCAGATGCCCCTACTGTATTAATAGGCAGAAACAGGGAAATCAAACCTTTTTCTACCATCAATGAGTGGGATTAAAAGCCCTGAAAATTTCATCCCAGTCCTGACCACTTACTTCTAGAGTTTCCAGTTTTGTTAGAAAATTGTTGTTAGTTTATGATATATCCCTAAAGAAAAAAAGAGTATGAGGTTCTTGAAGATGGTGAGGGAAGGATGAATACTATCATTAGAAGAAAAGAAGTTCACTTCATAAATAGTCTTTTTGAAGTCTTCTTACCTGCTTGATTACTGCCTCTTCTGTTTCAAGGTACTGGCATTGATTTGACTCTAGCTGTTTCATTTGGTTTTCCATTTTAATCACTTCACTTAATAAACTACAAAGAAAAAAAATCCAATCAAATTTGGCCAATAGAGCAATTCCATTATAGCACAAAGCCTTCCTAAAGAAATATATTTAATAAAGTTTTTGTCTGGGAAAATCAATATTTTAGCTACATTTTAAAGAACGTTAATTTTTTAGTTTTTCAATGAACTATAGTAATGATATCAAGGAAACAATGGTCTTTCTTTTTTTTTACATCTATCAGTCAAATGCTTTCAGATCTTAACAAAAAATATTCCCTGTTTGAAATTCCTTGAAGCTGATCCACTATTAGATTTAATAGAGTGTCAGTTACAAACGGATTTTTCTCAAGATTACAAATCCAGCTATTTTTCAGAAAGTATAAAGGACAGAAAAATGATATTTCTAATTAACGTACCTAATTTTAAAGAAAGATTTTTAGGAACACAAACTGAAAAGTGTGGCTAATTCTCCTCTTTGTTCTGTGGGCCACTTCACCAAGTAAAAAGTCCAGGAACCACTAGTCTGACCAAATATATAAATAAATCTTATGGAACTTTTGTCTGAGTAATAATGTAGCAATTAAATAATTATTGTTATAAATAATTTAGTAATAAAATAATCATTAATGTCATTTTATATACACTCACATATAAAGTATTTTACAAACTTTTTTCAGATTTTATTAATTTATTTATTTTTAGTTTTCAACATTCACTTCTACAAGATTTTGAGTTCCAAATTTCTCCCCATCTTCTCCCTCCCCCCCAAGATGGCATGCATTCTGAATACCCTTTCCCCTAATCTGCCTTCCCTTCTATCTCCCCCTCCCCATTTTCTTATCCCCTTCCCCTTCAATTTTCCTGTAGGGCAGGATAGATTTCTATACCCCATTGCCTGTATATCTTATTTCCAAGTTACATGTGAAAACAATTTTTTAACATTTGTTTTTAAAACTTTGGGTTCCAAATTTTCTCCCTTCATCTCTCCCCATCCACCCTCATTGAGAAGGCAAGCAATTCAGTACAGGTTATACATGTGTAATTATGCAAAACACTTCCATACTAGTCATGTTGTGAAAAACTAAGTATATTTCCCTTAATACTACTTCACCTCCCATTTATTCTATTTTCTCTTTTGACCCTGTCCCTTAGAAGTGTTTGCTTCTGAGTACCCCTTCCCCCAATCTGCCCTCACCTTTCTCATCCCCCTGCTCTCTTTTCCCCTCCCCCCCCATTTTCCTGTAGGGTAGATTTCCATACCCAATTGAGTGTGTATGTTATTCCTTCCTTAAGCCAAATCTGACAAGAATAAGATTCACTCATTTCCTCTCATCTTCCCCCGTTTCCCCTCAACTGTAAAAGCTTTTTCTTGTCTGTTTTATGTGAGATCATTTACCCCATTCTACTTCTCCCTTTCTCCTTCTCCTAGCATCATCCTCTCTCACCCCTTAATTTTATTCTCCAGATATCACCCCTTCATCTTCAACTCACCCTATGCCCTCTATCTATCTATCCATATACATACATATAATTTTTTCCCTCCAACTACCTTAATACTGACAAAGGTTTCATGAGTTACAAATATCATCTTTCTGTGCAGAAATGTAAACAGTTCCACCTTAATAAGCCTCTTATGATTTCTCTTTCCTGTTTACCTCTTCGTGTTTCTCTTGAGTCTTGTATTTGAAAGTCAAATTTTCTATTCTGCTCTGGTCTTCTCATCAAGAATGAAAGTCCTCTATTTCACTGAATATCCTTTTTTTCCCCTGAAGGATTATACCCAGTTTTGCTGGGTAAGAAAACTACCTTTGCCCTCTGGAATGTTATATTCCAAGCCCTGTGGTCCCTTAATGTTGAAGCTGCTAAATATTGTGTTATCCTGATTGTGTTTCCACAATACTTGAATTGTTTCTTTTTGGCTGTTTGTAATATTTTCTCCTTGACCTGGGAACTCTGGAATTTGGTTATAATATTGCTAGGAATTTTCCTTTGGGGATCTCTTTCAGGAGGGGATTGCTGGATTCTTTCACTTTCTACTTTGCCTTCTACTTCTAGAATCTCAGGGCAGTTTTCCTTGATAATTTCTTGAAAGATGATGTCTAGGCTCTTTTTTTGATCATGGCTTTCAGATAGTCCAGGAATTTTTAAGTTCTCTCTCCTGGATCTATTTTCCAAGTCAGTTGTTTTTCCAATGAGATATTTCACATTGTTTTCTATTTTTTCATTCTTTTGGTTTTGTTTTATAATTTTTTGATTTTTCATAGAGTCACTAGGTTCCAATTGCTCCATTCTAATTTTTAATGAAGTATTTTCTTCAGTGAGCTTTTGGACTTCCTTTTCCATTTGGTCAATTCTGCTTTTGAAGGCATTCTTCTCCTCATTGGCTTTTTGGAGCTCTTTTGCCCCTTGGGTTAGGCTATTTTTTAAGGTGTTATTTTCTTCAGTATTTTTTTGGGGTCTCCTTTAGCAAACTGTTGACTTGTTTTTCATGATTTTCTTGCATCACTCTCATTTCTCTTCCTAGTTTTTCCTGTTACTTCTCTCACTTGCTTCTCAAAATCCTTTTTGAGCTCTTCCATGGCCTGGGACTGATTCATAATTTTCTTGGAGGCTTTGGATGTAGGAGCTTTGACTTTGCTGTCTTCTTCTGGTTGTATATTTTGATCTTCTTTGTCACCAAAGTAAGATTCTATGGTCTGCCTTTTTTTGCACAGTTTGCTGATGATCCCAGCTAATTACTTGCATTATAAAGTCTTTGTTAAGGTAGGGGTCTGCTTCCAGTATAGAGAATGTACTGTCCCAAGCTTCAAGGGTTTCATGCAGCTATTTTCAGAGGTACTTCTAGGGACCTGTAAATTTTCATTTCTTCCAAGGTGGTATGATCAGGGGCGAGGTGTTTACTCCTTTTTTGGCCTGTGCTCTGGTGTATGAGTGATCACAAGCACTGTTTTCTGCCTTGAAACTGTGAGGAGGATTCCCTCTCTACTGTCACTACAAGCTGCACCACTCCAGTGCTCCTCCTTGCCCCAGGACCACCACTCAGAACTGTGATGCCGATCCAAGCATGGGCAAAGCAAGAAAATCCTGCCTCAGCACCAGCAAAGAGATCCCTGCAATCCCCCTCTGATCAGCCATTCAAATTCCCCCTCAGTCTGTGGGGTGGAAGCTCTAGAAGCAGCTGTTACCCCGGGGCTGAGCCAGGACTGGGACTGGGACCAAGCTTCTGTCTCACCGAGGTCACAGACTTTTCCTACTGACCTTCTAAGTTGTCTTTGGGGTTTGTGGGTTGAATAGTCTGGAAACTGTCACAGCTATCCATGATTCAATTCTCTGTGGCCTGTTCCAGGTTCGCTGAGGCCTGTTTTGCCTGCACACTCACGCAGAACTGCATTCCTCTCCCAGCCCGGCGCAATAGACCTTTCCAATCAACCATCCAGGTTGTCTTGGGCTGGAAATATGCTTCATTCTGTCTTTTTGTGGGTTCTGCTGCTGTAAATTTGTTTCACTCTGTCTTTTTGTGGGTTGTGCTGCTCTAGAATTTGTTTAGAGTCATTTTTTACAGGTATTTGGAGGGGTTGAGGGGAGAGCTCAAGCAAGTCACTGCTTTTACTTCGCCATCTTGGCTCTACAAATATTTTTTAAATGTTTATTGTTGTTCTTTTCAATATTTGGTAGTAGGAATTTATAGATCATAGTGTTATCTAGGCATTATTCTTTCTTACTCCTTCTCTGCCAAAGAATAATATCCCTCAATACTATTCAGGTACATATCACTGTCAAGGATAAATCCTGTATGCTAGTAAAGTCAACAATCCTTTATTAAGAACTCACTATGTTTCAGTCACTGTGCTAAGAACTAAGGATACAAAGAAAGACAAAAAACTGAGGTGGGGCAGGGTTTCACTTTAAGTGAATGAGATTGTGAGTGAGATACCTTGAAGAGCTTCAGAAAATATTTGAAAAGTTTAATTTCCCCTTTCACCTCCCCCCCCAATTCTCTCTCCTATGAGCACTCTGGCAAGTGTTTCTATATAATTTTGTTATTTCTTAAAGCCATTTCTATTTCTTGATTTCGTCTCATTGAAAAAAAAGCTTATGGATCATAAGTGCTTTGTGATGCATATCAATCAATTAATTCCACATAGGAACATGTAAAGACAGCTAGATGGTGCTGTGGATAGAGTATCAAGTTTGGAGTCAGGAAGATCTAAGTTCAAATTTGACTTCAGACATGAAGTAGCTGTGTAACTCTGGTCAAGTCATTTAACCCTGTTTGTCTCAGTATCTTCATTTTACAGATAAATAAAGTGGAAAATGAAATGGCAAACCACTCCAACATCTTTGCCATGAAAACCCTAAATGGGTCATGAAGAGTTGGACACAACTGAAACAACAAAAGTGTAATGGAGGATGTTATTGATTAGCTAGAAATGCACAGAATTTAAATGGAACAGAGGTCCTTGGTTAAAAGGAGAGGATTTCATCTGGCTTGAGTTTTATTAATAACCTTATAGTAAACAAAATGACCAATATGATAATTTCACCCCTAGACTACTCTAGTCATTGTTGAACCCAAATCAGGTGATTAGCATGTATGCAGGTGAATCAAGGAAGCTCTAGCCTCCAGCTCAAAAGAAGTAGACTAGGGGCATGGGAGTCAGGCTCCAACATAAACCTCTAAACTTCTCCAGATAACAACTTACTGGTTACAATAGGATCACAGAATCAGGGCTTTAAAGATAGAAGAGACTTCAGAGACTGTCTAAAGAGATTCAGTATTTTTAATATTGAATATGCAATAATATTGAATGAGCTTTTGAAACTTTTAAATTAGGACTTTGAAAGACTATGTTCTAACCTCTTCACCTCAACAGACTTGCAAAGCTTTGTATAAATGACTAGTTTTAGACTTAAGGTGTTTTCATCATCACCAAGACAAGGAATGTTCCCACATAAAACATTTAGTGGAGTACATTTAATTACCTTTTTACTGTTTCTTCTGTTGCATTTATTTTTTGGACAATTATATCATTTTTCTCAATCCAGTATTTGTGATCAATTATAAGTTCTTTAACTTGAAGAAACATCCTCATCTTCCAATAATTTAGTTTGTATGACAGATTCTCTTCAATCCTGCAGAAATATTGCTTTGATCAATCAACATAATTGGAAACATTTATCTTTAACCTTTGCAGAGGTTTATTTTTCTCTTCATTCTCTGTGATCATAGAATCTGTCCTCCACTCCCACCATCTAAATGGACCTGATAGATACTTTTGACTAGGAAAGAGGGCTGATTTTTTAAAATATTTTTTCTCTCCCCAAATATTTAATTACCATTTTAAAAAGCTCAATGAAACCATTTCTATTTTTTAAAATATTATTCAAATAATTTCACTGATCTGATTTTTTAAAAATTTCAGAAGGCCTAGAGATCATTTCAATGAACGCCCTGTTTGTTGAGCTATGAGTTGATATAATATTCTGGAAAACAATTTGAAATCTTATTAGAATAATCACTAAAGAATTCATATCCTTTGGCCCCTTATGTGTCCAAAGAGGTGTAGGACAGAGACAAAGATTCCATACATGTCAAAATACTTACAGCAACACTTTCTGTGAGAGCAAAAAATAAAAACAAAAAGTTGGAAACAAAGTTGGTTCCCATAAATTGGGAAAATGGCTTGAAAACGTTATGGCATATAAATGTAATGACATATTATTACATCATGAGAAATTACTGCTATCAAGATTTCACAGAAACTTGGGAAAGATATATATGGTGTCATCAGAGTAGAGAACAAATGTAGGAGAATAATTTACAAAGTGAATACAATAATGCATAGGTAAAGGAGACTAAAGAACATGAAATAACTAATACTGACTTCAAAGGACAGGTAGTAAAGCATACCTCTCTCCTCTGGGCAAAGAGGTAGAATAAAGTATATGCTGTTAGACATGGCCAATGTATTGGTTTGTTTTGCTTAACAATATTTCTTTGTTTTGGTGGAGGGTACTATCAGAGAAGGTACACTGGGAGGTGACATCAATAAAAAATTAGAAAGTCATCAATTAAACTTAAAAAAAAGAGAGAGAGAGAGATTCTAGTGGGGAGGGGATGCTGTTGGCTGTGGGCACTGATAGGAGGGCTGAGTTCTTGGCTCTGGTTCCAGGCCAGAGGGGAGAACTGAAAGTTACAGCCACTGGAGGGTCCTCAGGGAGCAAGAGCATTTCCAGCACAGGGTGCCTAGGGGTACTAGCTTGGAGGGGGAAAGGGGTGCAGAGGTTGGGCCCTAGATAAAGCTCAAAAAATAACAGTAAGAAGGACTTGAGGCTAGAGGCACCATCCTCCACATCCCAGGACTAGAAGTGATTATAATAACAAGCTGCTAAAAATAAAAAACAAAAACAAAACAAAAATGAGCAAGTAAAGGAAAAAGAACCCAACCAACCATAGACAGTTACAATGGGAAGAGAGAAGACTGAGGTTTGTCTTCAGAGGAGGATCCTGAAGCAAAAAAGAAAAAAAGCCTCTTACTTCACAGAGGAATGTCAAATAGTTACCTGCCCAAAAAAGAATTCTTAGAAGAACTCAAAAAAGACTTTAAAAATCAAATAAGAGAGGGGGCAGCTAGGTGGCACAGTGGATCGAGCATAGGCCCTGTAGTCAGGAGGACCTGAGTTCAAATCTAGTCTCAGCCCAGATACGTGACACTTACTAGCTGTGTGACCCTGGGCAAGTCACGTGACCCTGGGCAAGTCACTTAACCCCCAATTGCCAAAAAAAACAACAAATCACCAAAAAAATAAACAAACAATCAAAAAGAGAGACTGAGGAAAAAAATTTTTTTAAAAAAAGAATAATCCAAGAAAACCAAGAAGATTATGAAAAGAAAGTCAACCAACTAGAAAAGAAGATCCAGAATCTTCAGGAGGAAAACAATTCTTTGAAAACTAGAACTAGGCAAGGGGAAGCCAGCAACATTATAAGAGACCAAGAAATAATAAAACAAAATAAAAAGAATGAAAAAAATAGAAGAGAGGGTGAAACATCTCATAAGGAAACAACTGATCTGGAGAATAGACAAGAAAAGAAAGCATAATAATTGGACTACCTGAAAGCTATGAGCAAAAAAAGAATAATAGAAGAAATCATTAAAGAAAATTGCCCTGAAGTTTGAGAACAAGAGGGGAAAGTAGAAATAGAAAAAATCCACTGATCACCAACTAAAAGAGATTCCAGGATGAAAACCTACAGGGATATCACAGCCAAATTCTGAAACTCCTAGGTTAAGGAGAAAATATTATGAGCAACAACAAAAAAACAATTCAAATACTGTGGAGTCACAATTAGAATTACACAAGACCGAGGAGTGGCTACGCTAAAAGACTGCAGGTCTTGGAACACTATATATTGATGAGCAAAAGAACTGGGGTTGTAGTAAAAAATATCATACCCAGTAAAGTATAATCCTGAATGGAAAAAAATGGATATTCAATGAATTGACAGACTTTCAGGATTTTGTCACAAAAAGACCTAAAATTAATAGAAAATTTGACATACAAGATCCAGGAGAAACGTAAGGTAAACATCAAAGACCAATTACAAGGGACTCAATGAGGACAAATTGTTTACTTTTTATATGTGGAAATGTAAACCATATGCCTGATTGTCATTAGTAAATGGGTAGTTTGACAGAAAGATTGGGGTAGAGCTGAGTATGATATGATTCTAAAAAACAAAATTGTGTAGGAAAAGGTAAAAAGAGTAATTATCTCATACAAATGAGGCATGACAAAAACTGATACAGAGGAATCAGACGGGGGGGAGGGCTAGTAGTGCTGGAATCCTACTCACATCAGGTATGGGTTAAAGAAAGAGCAACATGTACATTTAGAAGGGTATTAAAATCTTCTAAATTTATAAAGAAATAAAAGGGTGAGGGAATAGGATAAGGTGGGGTAGAGAAGGGTGTGTAGATTAATTGGAATGGGTTAAAGAGGGAATAACTTTTAACTAGAAGGGTATAAAAGTCTTCTAAATTCAGAAAGAACAAGATGGCAAGGGGATACGATAGGGGAAGAGGATAAGGGAGTATTGTTAAAGTGTAAAATGGATAATTTTGATTATTTTACATTAAAATTTTCTTGGCCAATTAAAACCTATGCAGCCAAGAATAAAAGGAATGCAGAAAATTGGGGGGAAAATCTTTCATAGACAATCTCTCAGATAGAATGTGATTGGGTTAGAATTGCGATAGTGTAGGAAATTATCAGTTGGTTGATTTAGAAAAACATGGAAAGACTTGGATTTATGAAGGAAGAGGCTATTCACATTTGGAGACAGAGATGACAGGTGGAAATAAGCATATGTGAATATATGTGTATGTTTATAGATATTTATATATATGTATGCATGTATACACATATTCACACATACATATACATATGTGTATGTATGTATACTTAATTGTAGTCTTCTTTGGCAGGGGAGGGAGGAGAAAAACAAAAAGTGCCCAGTAGAGAACAAAAGAAAACCTACAAAGAAGCAAAGAAAAGTTGGACAGCTTTGAAAATAATATGTAGTATTTATTATATAGATTTTCTTGAAATGGAAATTTATTGCTTTATCCTCTCTTATGTTCTGCTGTGTACGTGGCAAAAAAAAAGACTGTCAAAGCCACTTGTAGGATTTTCTCGAGTAGTACACAAGTACTATTTTTTTCTTTCTTTTTTTTTTCTTTTGCTTCACAAATGTCAATTTTATTGACACTAGCACATAACTGAATAAAATGATAGCAAAAGTGTTGAAACTCATCAGGTAGAATTGGTGAAACCAATTTAAAAGGCAATTTTTAAAAGAAGTACTATATTACTCTTTATAAATCATATAAGAAAAAACATTATTACTCCAGATCTGATTTACAAGAGAAATTCTGGTACTTCCTTTGTCTGATATCAACATTACAAATGCTTTAAGCATAGGTGAAAAGCAGGTTTCATTTATTGATGTTTAGTATTAAGCTTATAATAAACCATTAAAAATTACAAACCATAAAAATAAAAACGCTAAATCAGTACTTATATTTCATATAGCATAGTATACATGTATGCATATGCATATATATTTCTAAATAACATATTATTTAGAATTTATTTAGAGGGTGAAGATCATAGTTCACCCACAACATGTGTGCCACGAATTGAACTGGTGAGAGGGAAAGGATTTTTCTCCTCATGATCCTTTTACCCTGGCTCCAAGAAATGGGTCTAGGGATGTTTGTCTCTGTTCTGTGTTGCTTTTCCTCAGTTTCAAGTTCTGTAAGCAATCCCCACAGACCCAGGAGTTTGAACCATGGGGATGACCTTGGAGTCTGGATTGCAGATGGGATGATGCAGCCAACTAGCTAGCAAGGAAATCCCAGAAGAACCAAGGTCCTTGGGACTTGAGCCCAAGGCAAGTTTTAGACATTAAACTGGGACTAGGAACCAATTTAAGCTATAAACCTAATCCCCTTCCTCTCTCCAAAGATCGAGGTGTTTTAAGGGAGGAGAGGGTATTATGCCTCCCATGTATTAGGGGAGTAAATTTGTATATTTGTGATTAAGCCTTCTGAAATAAATATTTCTATGTAAAAGCCAAAAATCAAACAAACAAACAATGCTTTAAGCACTCATGAGTTGATGACTTTGGTTGTGACTTTCTTCAATCAGACCATAATTACCCAGCACACATGTAGGCTGACCTACAGCCTTTACATGGTCCCTTGGATTAAGAAGAGGTTCATATTCTGATGAGATGAGTTTTAAAGTATATCAGATGAAACAACAAGCAGTTATGTAAGGGATTTGTATTCATGACCGTTCGTTTTTGTTGCCTGGTGTCTTGTGTCAGATAAGACAAGTATCAGCACAGTGAACACAGCAACAAGACTTGTTAGAATGGGGACTGGGCAAAAAGGAAAGCAATTGGCTGTTGGACCATGCCCAACAAACAAGCATGATGAAAATACCTCATTTGTTTGGACGCGGAAAATAATGGTGAAAAGATTTTCTCACAGAGAGGTACATGCTGACATGAGTACTATTTTTCAAAGTTAAAGTTCTCCTAGATTTTAAATGCTGTTTTTTCCTAAGTTTAGATCTAAACCATAATACCAAATTTTTTTCCATGTAATTTTTCTACATAATTATGTTCTCTGTGCTCCAAAAAAATTGTCAAGTATTCTGTTACATTTCTTAAGACTTACTGGTCCTGTTTATAAGAAAGAGGGTCCTCCTCTGACAGGAGTAAAGAATATGCAGGCAGCAGAGGCTCTGGATCCTGAGGTTTAGCATCATTTGACTTTTGCCAGTTGTGCTGGTTTGGTTGAAACCCATCCTTCTCAGCATTCATACCCAACATTTCCTGGCATTGATTCAGAAAAGAATTGCACAGGACAGAAATTAGGCCTGTCAAACTTCGTGAATATTAGGGTGATTACGCAGTATGCTTCCTAAAGTTGCACACTGTACAAATAGAACATTTTAAGGTAAACCCAGAGTACAGTTCCTTCCTCATCATTCCTCTCATTATAGAGAGGAATTATAGAATTTTAGGGGTGGAAGGCAACTCAGAAGCCATCTTGTCTAATTTGTGCTGTTATGGGAGAAATGTCTCCTCTCTGAATTCATACGGTGGGTAACTGCAGGTAAATATGTATTTGCCACAACACAGAAATTATGGAGGTAAAAATCTAGGTTCTATTATTATGCTGAAGCATAGGTTCAAGCTTCAAAGAAAACTTGAACAACCATGAGGATTCTGAAAAGGCTTTTTATAGGAAAAATTACATCAGAGTGACAGAGAAATAATTTTACATATTGCAATCTTATACACTCCTCTTAGGTCATAAAAATTTAAAGAGACAATAGATCCATAATCTCATACTTCTTCTATGTCACAAAAGTTAAACAACTTAATTAAATAGTCATAATCTCATACATCCCCTAAGGAAGTAAACTTTGTCAAATAAACTCTATAGGTAAACTAAGTCAAGTTACAGATTAAACTACATTTAGAGGATTCACAAATAGGCTGATTGAGGAGTCCTATGTTACTAAGAAGTCAGGGACAACTGAAATTCTTCCTCTGGCTTCTTAGCTAAGGAACGCGTAAGGCTCTTAAGTACATTTTTACATCCCATGGGACAGGTTTTGATCAGGAGACGTCAATGTCAACCAAAAGTTGCAGGAAGAATAAAAGGAAATCACAAATCCCCATAATAGTACTCTAACAACAGTGACCTCTCCAATACACCTAATAAGTAATCACTCAACCTTCACAGGATCAGGGATCTAGAGGCCATCTAATCCAATCCCCTCATTTTACTGAGAATAAAACCAAGGTTCTCTTGAAGACTCCAATTAAGGGTGAAGCTACAGTCTTTATATGGTGCCATTTTAAGGACCTTCACTAGCCTGGTTGCCCTCTTCATAATGTTCTTCTAGTTAAATGGTGTCAGACTCAAAAAGAAATTGGCCATTAAACCACACATAAGGAGCCCTGTAGGCTGCACATTGGCTTAAAAAGCCACTTATTAATATTATCTATGTTTTAGTGCATTTTTATTTATTTTGTTAAATATTTCCCAATTACATTTGAATCTGGTGCTACAGCAATGTGGTGGGTGCCCCAGAATGAAACACAATACTCCAGACGTGGCCTGAGCAGGATAGAATATGATAAGATTATAACCTTCCTTATTTTATTCATTCATGCCTCCTCAGTTTGGTGTTTTACCATCTCCTATGGCTGTCAGGTTATATATACAGTTGGCTCACTTTGAGTTGCTGGTCCACTAACTTGAGTTGCACTGATAATTCATTTCTACCTTTTTAGACAGAATTGTCTATACACAGCTTCCTCATCCTAAAAATAAGTTGATTTTTTTTGGATCAAAATGTAGCATTTTGCTATGAATATATTAAATATTAAATAGATATGAGGACACATTGCAGCTTGGGTGAAGGTGTAACCTTTAAGAACTTGCCTAAGATGAGTAATTGACATAGGAATTGAACCCAGGTTTCCTGACTGTCATATTCTGTGCTCTGCGATGGGAAATGAAATTCCACTAACCATGAAGCCAATTAAACTCTAGAAATACTCTACCACCCTGAAACTCTAAGGAAGTGCTCCTCTTCCTTTCACGGGCACAATTGTCCCTCTGTTGAATGAGATAATATATCCCAGAAGTCTTTGGAAGTAGATTCTGTCCTTGTCTATCCTCTCAATCCTGAAATTTGCCCCAATCAGAGTAGGTAAGGATTCTCTGGACTGTATCTCCCAGATTTTAGGACAAAGTATGTATGCACGGGCAGACTTCCCTGGGACACAGGTATCTCACAATAAGAATCTGAAAGTATACACTTAAAAGTGTTTTTAAAATTATATAGCACTATACAAATGTGTAGCAACTTCTTACTGAAGGAATTGCAGCACAGCTTGAATGAAATCTTTAATAGGTTATGATATGAGGAGGAACTGACATTTCTTAAGAGGAAAGAAGGATGCAAGAGTAAGGAGGGATGGCCCTAAGCACAGACCCCTACAGAGAGAGACACCAAAGAATCAGACAGTAGAGGTAAGTAGCACCCACCCACTTCATCACAGCATCCTTAACTAAGCAACTTCAGCAGAGGGAGAACGAGAAAGACAAGAAAGAAAAAGAGGCTGGGGTGGGGAAGGGGAAGGGTAGCTATACAGGGAAGAGACTGTAGCTCTCTGTGTTTGCCATAACAACAATAGTGATACCCGTACTTCTTTGTTATGGCTCTCTTACTGAGCCAGTATCCTGATTCCTTTATTTCTTTTCTTTTTTCTTGTAAAGCTTTCGGGGTTAAGTGACTTGCCCAGGGGTTACACAGCTAGAAAGTGTCAAGTATTTGAGGTCGGATTTGAACTCAGGTCCTCTTAACCCCAGGGCCACTGCTTTATCCACTGTGCCAGCTGGCTGCCCCTATTCCTTTATCTCTTAACAACAACAAAAAGTTTGTTCATTTTCTATATTGGCCAAGTACTTCCAAAAAAGAAACTAGTTTCTCTAAGATATCATTCGGTGTGTGAAGGTGTGTGTGTGTCCTGCCTTGGCAGGGATTAAAAGCAGTAACTGAGGGAGGCAGTGGTTGCTCAGGGACAGAGAGAGAGGAGAGAAGTTCTGTTTTCAGTTTCTAGGGCTACCATCTGGGGACTAGAGATGAGCCAGAGATTTCTATAGATACCTATTATTATAGTTCGCCAAATTGGGAAAAGTTTAAGTGAATCTGGGTTCAGACACAAAATGAGCCAACAGTATTCTGGTGAGTAGAAGTCTGGTAAGTAGGGAAGAGTTAGAGTAGATTTCCACTGGCCCCAAGCAACTCTCATCCCATAGGTCTCTTTAGATAGGTTCAATTAAAGAACCGCTTATCTTCCACTGAGGTGGAGTGGGGGTATTAGAGGAGAGCCATGCCTAGGAAATGTCTGAAGGGGGGAGCTAGGAAATAGCGGCTCAGCCTATTCAAGTGTGGGGGTCAGAGTGTATCTAGTTTTTCTCTCCAGTTAAATAAATCCAATCCCCACTTTTGTTTTAAAGGTTATTGTTATTATTATAATTATCTTAATCAAATTCTTGAATATCTACACTGTGAAATCTTACCTCTATCCTTGGAAGAAGTTTGGTCCTAAATTCTTGAGCTTCCATAAAAGTATTATTAAACTAAAGAAAAGGGGAAGGTATGGTAAATAATCCTCCATGAAAATATGATCTTTAATGTTAATTCAAAATATAGCCAGTTAAGTCTCCTGCATAACTTGTTCAATGGGATAAAATAGTATAATTAATGAAATTCAGTTTTTAAAAAATAGTATATCCAATAGTTATAAATTCTTCTCCCACAAAAACTCTGACTTTATTTATTTAAAATCAGTAAAATTAATTGCTATAATAGAAAACATTGAATCTGGAGCTAATAGACCTGATTTCTGTTCCTGGCTCTTCCACTAACTAAGTATGACTTAAGTAAACAACTTAATCTTTCAATGCCTCAGTTTCCTCATTTGTAAAATAAAGGGGATTAGATGATCTCTAAGGGTTTTTTTCTAGCTCTAAACCTCTATGATTCTATGATATGAAGAAGATATGTCTATCTTCTTAACTGATACTATTAATGAGTAGCAAAATTATCAAAAGGTAGGAAGTAAGAGGGAAAAGAAGCAACATTTGGGATGTTGTACAAATAAGAAAATCAAGAGATGAAATTCAACACTTATGAAATACCTGCTAGCTGTATTAAACATCACACTAAGGCCTGAGGGAAGTGCAAAGATGAAAAAAGGAAGAGTTTCTGTCTTTATAGAGTTTATAATCTTGTAGAAGAGTAAGCTATGAACACAAGTAACTATAGTTATATGCAGAGGAGATGGTATCTGACCAGTCCTCGTGCCCAGTAATCTCAAAATGTAATCACAGAAAGTAAGGGGCAGATTATTGAGATGTTAAACTAATTGAAGAGATGTGTCTATGACTTGTATACCTTAATGAAATATGGAAAAGTTTGTTTGATTGGATGAGAAAGCACAAGACTATTGGTTGGACTCTTTAAAAACCTATACTCACTAGCTTTGGAAACCAACTTGGGTAGAAGTCAGCAGTTGAGGAAGAACCTGACCCCTGAGAGAGATTCACTCTTGGGGTGGGGGGAGAGAAGAGGGAATTTCTCATTCCTCCCCTGCCATCAGTTTTGCATCTGAGCCACTCACCCAGTTTGGGACTTTGTCAGTCACTCTGAGAGATTTTGAGGTAGAAATGAGGGTTTAGAGACACATAATCTTTTGTCGGACATGTACAGAGAAAGGCAATGACCTGAAGGGAAAAAAAATCAGTTTCAGGGACTGTGAGAGAAAAGATTCAGTGGAGAATTAGCCATGGCAATTGAGGGTTTGGCTGTGGAGATATATGTAGACCCTGAGAGCCCAGCTTAGCAACTTGCTGAGTAGAGATACTACACCCAGGTAGGGAGCTACGTGAGGACTCCACGAGATAGAAAGGACATCAAGACCCTATAGTACAGGAAGTATGAGTTATCTTGGCTATAAATGTTCCCTACATGTGTTCCCTGATACCACTATACTTTCTGAGTTTGTGCCCACTCTTCCCATGAATACTAGTGTATCTATGAGATAGCACGCTGCTAGTTTGTAGGGAAAGGGGGATTGGGAAAGGAGAAAGGAATGTTTTCTAGCTACTCTTCTTACTATACCATCTCAGCGTATGCCTTTGCTTCAAGCTCATTGCATCTCTTGACTATTAAAGGGGAGCAATGGTAGAGGTTCATGAGCTGTAGTTTTAGGAGGAGTACAGACCAACAGGGTAACCCTACAACAAA